TTCCCTGGAATATATGATTCTCCTTCCTACCACAGGACATTTGAATATGCTGTTCTCTCTTCCTGACCTGCTTCCTTCTTCACTCCTCACTGTTTTACCCTATTTTTTTCCCTTTATCTGAATAGCATTAAAAAAAATCCATTGGGAGTAAAGGAGATGATTAGGCAGTTGTTTCTCAACATGCGTAAAAATAACTTGATTGTCTTAAGTTTTTACTTTCTGCTTTATTTCTGGAGCTCTGACATCATAGCATCCTAGCCAGTTGTTTCAAACGTATAGCTGTATTGATTCACCACTTATTCCTTTCTTTAGAACACATGTATACAGCACAGCTTTTCTCAAGGTCTAAAAGTGGACTTTCTGTCTGGGTACAAGTGTAGAGTCCACTTCTAATGCAGACAACCATCCTGACCCCGTAGCTTGGGCCAGGCACTGTGTTGGATCTGGGGAGGCAAAGACAAGCTAAAGCGAGCTGTGCCTGTGAAGGCTGGAGGCAGAGGAACCAGGAATTATGCGAAAAGCTGGACATTTTCCTCCCTGCTGTCTCTTTGTCATTGGTCCCTTTATGTTCCCCAGCTCTGTTAAAATCAGTATTGTTTTTCAGATTTTTTTTCTAGCTTTCTAGAAAGCTAGAAACCCATCCCCTCCTCCCCACTCCCATCTGCCCGATGCCCGATCGCTTTCTTGGATTTTGTAAATATGATTTAAAATTCCTGTAACTGCTTCACCTAATGATAACAAAAATTATTTGCTTTGAGATAAAAGATGCATCGGAACTTTAAATTTATATATTGTGAATATCTATAAACAGTAATGGCAATATTCTTGAATAATCAAATTTAAATGATATATTGATTCCTTTCAGATAATAGCAGAAGAGGACCACTAAGTGATGGTAGGGAGAACGTTAATATTTGTCCATTAAAATAAAATATTATTCAAATGGAGAGATGCTTCACTTATTGTGTCTCATGCTCACCTCCCGAGTGAATTAAAGCAGTTATAAGAGACTGCTCTTTTATTGGCCGCAGCAAATAACTTGCTTAACAGATTTATTCTCTCTGGCATCGTCATTACCATCAGCAAACACTTAGAGGGCACCTGTTGTGGGCAGGAGATGCAGTGCTGGGAGCTGTTCATCTCTCCGGGAAGACAGGGCGTATTTATAACAGAGACAGATAACAATACAGTACAGTAAGTGCCAAACAAATGACATTGAAAATAAGTGTAATAGGAGTTTAGAGCAAGGAGAAGTCACTGAAAGGAGATGGGACTTGATGTGGGCCTAGAATGAAAGGCAGGTGTTAGACTACAGAGGAAGACAAAGCATTTCCAGGTAAGGGAGCATCGTGGGCGTAAGGCCAGGGCACAGATGTGCACAGAGTGCCTGGGGCAGGGGGTGGGGGGAATGAGTTTCTCTGAATATAGCACTCCCTGAATATATGGCAAAATATAGATTAAATTAGTGGACTGATTTTTATAGTGCTCCTATTTTACAGATGAGCAAATTGAGGCACGGAGCTGCTAGCTGGTTGCCCAGGACAACCGGCAAAAGGCAAAGCAGAATCCAACCACAGACAGTGCAGCTCTATAGTCCAAGCTCTTTCCCAGAGGCTGGTGGGTCTGCATTGGAAGGTTGTGGGATTAGGGAGTCTGTCCTGTTTTTGCTGGAGGAGGGCACCATTGAGTCTGTAATGGGGATATTATATAATTAACACTAAACAATGTCCCTATGCTATGGTCCGAATGTCCCCTCCAGGACTGATGTTGAAACTTAGTCTTCAATGTGGCAGGATTGAGAGGCTTTGACCTCATGGATGGGTTCATCCATTCGTAGATTAACGAATTAATGGGTTAATGGATTAACAGTTATCACGGGAGGGGAACTGGTGGCTTTATAAGAAGAGGAAGAGCGACCTGAGCCAGCATACTCGGCCTTGCCATGTGACGCCCTGTACCACCTCGGCACTGCAGAACCTCCACCAGCAAGAAGGCCCTCACCACACATGGCCCCTTCGTCTTGAAACTCTCAGCCTCCATAACTATGAGAAATAAATTCCTTTTCTTTATAAATTACTAGGTTTCAGGTATTCTGTTATAAACGACAGGAAATGGACTAAAATGCCATAAAGGAAGACGACTCTGGCTGTCGGGGGAAAGGAGGAGGCAGGAGCCACTGGCAGCAGAGCGATGGATCGAGAAGGAACTTTCCAGTGGGCGAGCCACACTGCTGTCCACCATGGGTAACGGGTGCTGCAGCCTGGCTCCCCTGACCCCGGCAGACCCACAGGAGGGTGGCCTCCAATCCACCACCCCATCCCTTTACCCAGGTGCCATTCAAACATCATAATTTTCTATGGTGCCATGACATGAACAACGCTAGAAAACATGGAGGCAGAAGACGCATGCCTTAGACAGCTGTGGTTGGGAGGGAAAGGACACAATGACAGTGGAATCCACAGGATGTGTTTGCCCCGGTGGCCCACAGAGGGGAGGACAGAGCACTGCTGAGTGACAGAGCTTGGGATCTCAAGCATCTCCTGGCGGTCGGTGCTGGCACCGTCGGGATGAGGCGGGTCTGGCAGAGGCAGGCTCTGGAGAACAGTGACAAGAGCTTCCAATATATGAAGTTTGAGGGATGCCAGGGCATTTAATGAGAACTTTCTATTTTTTCCCCCCAATATTTTGATGTAGACCTTATTGATGTTTTTTCCTGAATGAGTTCCTCAACTTTTTTCTAACTTTAAATTTCAATGAATAAAAACATACAGTATTTGAAGTATGAAAATGCTGAATTTTCACTAGAAGTTTGAGGATGGCCTTGCAACCATCAGAAAGAAACCGCCTGGCTTTGCCTTCCAAATGCTCTCAGAGTGTTCCAGAGACACGTGCGGTGGAGAGCTCTGCACCTAGAGTTAGACACCAGGGCTTAGAAACCCCAGCTTCGCCCATCGGGTGCGCGAGTCATTTTGCCAACCGTACAAAGGGGATAAGAATGGTGTCTACGCCTCATAGCGTAGTTTGGCTCCTAGAAATTAATGCATATGAAACACTTAGGCGAGCGTGAGGCACACAGTGAGCATCATTAAATGGTGGCCATTAACATGGATTTGGTCAATCAAAGCCCCTGCACACCAGGACTGTGCACACATGCAAGCACAAGTGCGGGCAGCAGGGGCAGGCGGTGGCCTGTGAGGTGCTGAATACAGCTGGGGACCGAACTTTAGTGTGGCAGTGACTTGAGAAGCACATAGTACAGGACCCACAGGGGCATGTTCATCCAATTCTTGACAATCTGCAGGTGACAGCCATCCTCCTGGAGAGGAACGTGAGCAGAAACCAAAGGGTTCTTATCTGCCCGCTGGGAGGTTGGTACACGTGGGTAGAGAACATCAGTGAATTAAAAATCTGTTGAACCTGATGCAGAAGGAGAAGCTGGCAAACTCCTGAAGAGGGGGGTTACATCTTTTTTTCTCTTGTGCCCTTGCCTCCTGACTTGACTTAATATCGTTTTCTGATTAGAAAAGTGACGCTTGTTCAATGTCATGTCATTTGACATGCATAGGAGAGTATTACTCAGGAGAAAAAAATCAACCACAACCCAGCCAACAGCTGTGTTCACATTATTCCTTTTTTTTTTTTTTTTTCCTGTTTGTAGATTTTTTACAGAGCTAAACTGATATACATTCAAGGCTGTATCCTGGGGTTTGTTTGTTTTTTTTTTTGTTTAACATCATATTACATAAAATTTTCCTATGTCATTAATCTCTCTTCATAAATATTATTTTAATAGATATACAATATTCTATAAAATGGTGACTCTTTTTACTACTTTACTAAAGTTGAACTTCTAGGTCCTTTCCAATTTTTATTTTCACAAATAACACTATGATGAATATCTTCATGCTGAATCTTTGCCTGATTTTTGTATTATTTCTTTGGGAATAATTTCAGAAAGGCAAAATCCTAGGGAACATACTTTTTTCTCCATCTTTTTAACCAACAGTGCATTGCCCAGAGAGAGAATTTAAGAATTTGCTATTTTTAAAAAACTGAGGCTGAATTAAGTTAATAATTTTTTGCCCTCATGGCAGAAAAATCTTGATCTTTAAAATAGCTACAATGCTGCAACAATCATTGTAGAGCAGGAAGAGATGAGCGATGAGAGAGAGAGTTTCTGCATTTTCAGCTCATAAATCTCCATGGGAAGCGGGTTAGAGAGATTTGTTCCTGCATGCACCTGAAATATTGTTATTATAACAAAAGTGATCTTAAAACTTTAAGCATGTGTGAATGCAAGTTTGCAGAGAGGAAACGGACGTGTTTATACACCTCAGGACTGTTTAGACTTCTCTCTGCGGTCACTGCTGAGGGGTCATACGCCCACTGTACGTGCTCACTGGGATGCCTGTTTTAGGTGCGCTCGGGTCCTCTCTGGCTCGATGCATGTTTGCTGATGGAGATGGCCCAGGACATCACAGCTGCACGTACAGCCCTGCTTTAAGCCACCCTTAGCCCAGAGATTTATTTTGTGAATGTAAAATGCTGAGAGGCTTCAGGAATGAAAACATCTCCGATTTTCTATTTCTATTGAAAATTCAAATATTCTGTCGGAACCCACTGATACACTGTCATACATCAGAATCATTTATTGTTTTACATAAAATTAACTTTACTAATTCAAAGGCTCATCTCCGTTTAGCCCAGTAGTGAATGTATTTATTTAACAGGAACAAAAAATTATCACTACACATGCAAATCCAGCTCATGCTCACGTCATAGGGTTCTCGTAAAGACCTCAACACGCCTTACCAACCTCATTTCTACAACACGTTGATACAGTGCACACAACTGGAAAGTTGTTTCCCTGACTTTCACATAGAGAAATGAAGTTCAAAGTCATATGATTGGCTCAATGTCCTGTGGGAAATAAAGAACAAGCCAAAAACAATCCAGACTCATGCTGGAACGCTCTGCCCAAATGAGATGGCCGAAGGCTCAGTGTCCTTGTCCTTACCGGTGGGTTTGACGAGAACTGCCAGGAAGTCCGTGGTGAGCGAGCTGACGTAGAGCAGGATGCAGGGTGCCTTGGTGGTGCTGAAGCTGAAGCCAATCTCCTCCCGCGCCAGGTCCTCGGGGAGGCTCTGCTGCTCGGGGGAGCTCTCCGTCCTGCCACCCGCATCCTTGGCGCTGACTGCTGGTGCCTGGAAGTTATACCGTAGCCACATCCCCTCTTCAAAAAATGCACCCACATCTGTTTAAAGAAAGAGAGAAAATTGAAAAATGAGGAGAGGTCTGATGCCAACACCGGCAACGTTTCAGACTTGAGTAGATTGTTGATCTTATAACGGTCTCCGCAGCGGTTCGCGGAGGGCAGGCGCTGGCTCCGGGAAGGGGATCGGGCTGAGTAAATAACAGGCAGAGGACGTCATTTCATCAACATGAATACTCTATTCACAAAGAGAAAGCATGTAACAGAGTATGGAAATCTGTAAGATTTAAAAATAATAGCAAAAGTTAAGAAACTTAAATCATACCAGAAAAAAAAAATGTCACGTACAGTACTCAGACCAAATAACCGATTTTCAGATTGAAGAGAAATGCTGAAAATAAAGGCAGGGTTACAACATAAACCCCTGGGATAAGGCGCTCATAGAAGCATCCTCTCTGAGATCGAATTTTCTTTGGACATTCACAGGGAAGTCCTTAACAAACACTAAGTGCTCAGAGGCTTTGTGCATAGGGTTTAAAATCACAAGACAAGAGAGAACTGGGTTCAAATTTGGCTCTGCTGTTCATTAGCTGTGTGGCCTTAAGGGAAGTTACTTAACCAACCTCTCTAGGCCTCTTATTTCATCTGTGAAGTGGAAAGTAATTAGCACTCAATAAATAGTACCTATTGTTATTATTATTGTTAAGAAATTAGAAGAAAGGTCACTATCCCTTCCTGCATTAGTCTTTTCCTGCAGCCTAATCAACGCTGTTACCTGCTTTTGGTTCCCCCATTGTTTACTCACTGAAGTTCTAAGTCACCCCCGACTCCCCCTGAAAGGCTGAGCCACCCCACGAAGGTTCGTTTGGTCTTCACAGCTACTGCTTCATGGTCCTCTGCCTGCACCTTTTTGAAAGCATCCTGCACACTTCATTGCCCGTGGGACCTGTCATTCTCACGACAGTGGACATCCCACTAAATTAACATGATGCAGAATATAGTTTGCAAAGCATTGCTCTATATTATAATTAACAGGAGAGGACGACTTTTAATAGGCATCTTCTAACTGGGAATTTTGACGTTTGTTCTTGTTGAAGAGGTCAGCACAGAGCAGTGGGGCCAGATGCATGGGGGTGCACCTTAGCCTTCCCAGTAGCCAGCAGAGTTAACTTGGGTCAATGGCTTGAAACTCTCTCACCCTCAGGTTCCTTCTGAAAAATGGGGCCTCATAGGTGGTTGTGAGGATTCAATAACCCATGTATAACACTTAGCCTAGTGCCCGCATATATAAAGTGCTCAATGAAGATGATTATTCCAAAGAGAGGTTACCATTATCAATGGCGGGTGACGGATGCCATTGCCCATCCCCCATCTCATACCACCACACAAGTGTGTGAAAGTTGTCAGAATCAAAATGAAGTCACTAAATGTTTACAAAAAACACAAAACCCTGACAAATTGAGCTGGGGAGGGCCACAGAAAGAGCGGGTTCTCAGGCTCACATGCCTGACAACAGAAACTATCACAAAAGACCACAAAAACCACAACCTTGCACAGAGGCTATTGCAACCTTTCACAAAGAATACTTCTGCAAAGACATCTGTCCAGCAATTGCCTGTCCAACCTCGGACTGGCGTCACCCTTGTTATTGATTTTTGTAGCCAAGGATAATTATTTCAAAACAATCATATAATCGTCCTTGCTTTTTCCTTTAACAACCTTTGTCTTCCTTTACTTCCCTGCATATGCACATAGTTTACTATGACATGTGTATTCCCATTGCAGTGCTCCATTCCCCAATAAATATCTTTTCTTTTAGAGCACTCTCTCTGTTATCTGGGTCGACACATGCAACACTCCAGTAATTTACCATGGCAAGAGCCCAGTGCTTCTCATCAAGTTGTAAAGAAAGAGTTCGGATAACTATAGGCTCTCACTATAGTGCTATTCCATACACCCCACCCCACCGCCCGCTCTCTTACCCCAAGGACTTCTGCAAATGTATGGGGTTGTCAAAATGGTTGTTGGGGAGCCGCGGCACTCAGTGGGCAGGGGCGAGGGCAGCTGCATGTCCTGCAATGTGTGGGGCTGTCTTATGCAATAAGAATCGTCTTGCTCCAAATGCCAGAAGTATCCTGGTTGGAAAACGCAGGATTGAACAAATATTAATACTTAATCCTTCCCCGTTGCCGCCTGAGTTCCTGGAACGTGAAGATGAACAAAATACGGTCACTGCCTGTGAGGAGCATTCCATCTAGCAGTGGGTGTGGGAGGACACACAGCAACAATTCGAGTGCTATATGGTGCGTGTTGTGGCGGTTTACTCCGGCGTATGTGATGAGAACCTCACCTCGTTGCCCGAGTAGCCAGCAAACAGCTACTGGGCACCCACGCGTGTTGAGCACAAAGCCGGGCACCGAGGTTACAACACTTGCTCTCAGGGAGCTCCTGAGCTGACGGAGGAGTCAGACAAACAGACATTAGAACGCAGAGGGAAAGTGCAGGATCAGGTAAACGGGAGCCGTTGGATCACCGGGGCACCGGCCCTGTCTCCAGGGGCCGTGCAAGACTTGCTGTGGCTAAGACACCTGGGCCGGGACTCAAGAACCAGAGGCAGGTAGCCATGCATAGGTGAAGGGGACAAAGATCAACTTTCTAGCTGAGGGAGCAGTGTGCAAAAGCATTTGGCGGTGACAGTCTGTGGCCTTAAACAGCACAGCCCCTGGACAAAATTCGTGTGCTCCTTTTACATCGTCAGTCGTTCATTCCAGACCTGCGAGACTCACTAGACTTCAGGCTGGGTGTGGAGGATCCAGTGAGCAAGACACAGGGGGGTCCCGCGCTCAGTGGCTCAGCGTCTGGGGGACAGACGGACACTCCTAGGACTGGCCCCTGCAAGCGTGTCTGACAGACGGCAGGGGAGGGGAGCAGAGGGAGAGCAGGCAGGCCAGGCCACCCAGGAGCAAACACGCTAGGGGGTCACTTTGCCACAGAGAGCTCCTGGCAGAGAATTTGGGGGTCACTGCCTGAGAACAGGTTCGGGCCCCACGGGGGTGAAGAGGCGGACCTGGGGCTTGGAGGGAGGGGCGAGGCAGCTAGAGTTGGGGGGCCACGGGATTCAAACAACTCCGAGCAGGACAGGCAGGACGACGTGCAGGGACAGACCAGCAGGCGGGCACCCGACTTCGAGACGGCGGGGTGAGCAGGGCCTGGGTCACAGGGGCAGCGCCTCACCTGCGAGAGCCTGGGCCCCTTCCGTGCGCCCGGCTCCGTCCAGTTACTCCATCCCCAGGGCCAGAACTGCAGTCGGAGAGCGCAGACCTGAGTCCCTGCCCTTCTCTCGGCCCCCGCCTGGGAACCTATCAAAACGCCAGGCCCCAGCCCCGGAATTGAGCTCAGAGGTTCTGACTCAGAGGACCTTGGGAGCCAGCACTTTTGAAGGGCTCCCAGGTGATACTTCTGCACACAGGGATTAGGAATCCTTGGAGTTAAGGCAGAGGCGGGTGCACCTGGGGGAGCAGGTCGCTGCGCGCCCCCTGCCAGGGGGAGACATGGCGCGTTTATCACCTGAACTGGAGGAGGTTATTCCACGGCAGATCATGAAGGGAAATTCGGAAATGCAAAGATTTTAGATAAGCAAGCCCAAAATGTGCCTCAGAGAAAACTTTTGCTGTATTTTAGAGTAATCATTAAAAAGCTTTATGGATTTATGTCAGTTTTGGAGGAAGGGCTATACCATGCTTAAAAGTGTTATTCTGAAACCACATCGTAAACCAACCGTTAAACCAAGGCCTGGGAGTGATGTGAATCCATTTAAGGTTTCAAGTGGCAGATTTACAGCCGTCATTTCATTGTTTCAGATTGTTTTACGGAAATGCCAAATCAGGGACCGTAATGTCTTTTAGGAAGGTAATACTTCCATTCCTCTGAATGAATAACTAACACTAATTTAACAAGCCCTGAAATAACATCATTTCCCTCATTAAATGATCAAAAAGTATGATTTTGAATGCTTGATTTAAGATTTTATAGTAATATTAGATAGCCTTTTATAATATTCTTTTTTTATAGAGAAAATAGTACATTTCGTATTTAGGTATCCTAAGATGTAAAGAGATTTGTTTAATTATATCATGTTTCTCAAAATTTTGAAATACATTATGCCATCTGTAGACTTGGGACATAGAGGTGACAGTTAACTTTCAAGGAGACAAGTAACCTCATCTTAACTATTTCTTTGTCGTCAACATAGATCATACGTAAATTATCTCTGATAGAGGCAAAAAAGTTTGAAAATATTTCAAATAAAATCCACAAATCATTCATCCCAGAATAATACCATAAAGATATTCATCCCTTGGCTAACCAAATCCCTGAGACCTACAGTAGGGGACAAAAAAACCAAAAACCAACCCCCCCAAAAAAACCCCTAAAATCAAAACCAAACAGCTGTTACTCACTCCCCATTATTAAATTGCTCCTAATCTTTTTCTTCTCCACATTAAATAATTCTAGTCCTTCTGCCTTTTCACTTAGGATATATTTTGCAACCTATATTTTTAAAATTGACGTGATTCTTTTTGTTCTCTAACTTCCCTATGAGGACCCAGAATTGAAAGTCCCCAACTTATCAACAGGCTCTTTTCCAAAAATGTATTTTAAAGCCAGTAACTTGTGACCTGGAAAAATTCCCCACAGAAACAATGTTTTAAATGATGGTGAGTTTGCCAGGAGAGTGCACCAATGTGAGCCACTCAGGATGTGTAATATTAGTACAAGATAATTGAAGAGTGCCATTGTGTATTGGTAATTAAAATAGAAAAGCAACAACAAAAAATGTTCAGCCTTAATTTTAATGTAAGAACCCCAGGGAACTCTGCTCTCACAAGATTTCATCCAGTGGATCCCATGATATGTTGGAATATTTTAAATAATGGCCTCTGTGGCAGGGAAGAGCCCTGATTTGTAGTTTCTGCCTATTCTCGTGGTATAAATACTCCCACCTGGTCTGGTTTCAAGCTGCCAGCGTGATGTCACTAAAC